AGTTCAAAATGGCACCCAGTTTGATTTTTTTTTTTCTGTTCTGTTTTTAACAGATACACCGAAGATGTGCACAATACAAGAATAACCTTTTCCCCACCCATTCGTTCTTTGCCTTCTCCTTCCGGGCCTCCTCTGTTGGCCCCTCCCTCAACCGCTGTCATGTCTTCCATTGTCTTCCTTTGCACCTGTATCCACACCACAGGCAGGTGTGTGATTCCTTTCTCCTTAACCCACCCTAGGGTCCCCAGATGTGCTTGGACTGCAACTCCCAGAAACCTTCACCATTAGCTGCACTGGCCAGGATTTCTGGGAGATGTAGTCCAAGAACATCTGGGGGAACCCAGTTAAGAACCACAGCTTTACCCTATAATGAAAATTGCACATCCAAAGAGGTGCGTAAACACCTTTTTCTAACATTTAAAAAAAAGGGATGGGAGTAAGCATTACATTCCCATAGTGCGATATTGTGCTCAACCCCTCACATGGCGGCCACAACAACAATGTGCATACGGGATGAACGCAGAGGAAAAAGCACTGCAGTTTGGGAGTGTGTTACAAGCAGGGCCGCAGGTGTCTGAAACTAAGCTAGATATCTCCTCTGTTTTGTCTGTCAGGTGTAATCCCAGCCCAAGCTGAATTCATTGCTGCTGTTTTCCCTTCTCACCTTTCTCTCACACAAGAAAAGCAAGACAGGAACATAACAGCCCAGCTCCTCGGGTGAAGCGATAACTGGGAAACCCTCCGCCTTGCCTGGAGACCCAGTAACATCAACGGAGTGTGGTCACATCCCTGACATCTGGCCTCAGCCAGACAGCAGGATCCAGAGCAAGGTATGACTCTGGATGAGTTCAACACTCCACAGCTAAAGGAAGTCAATTTCCTCTCTCTCCCCCCCATACAGACCTCGGACTGCTTGAATCTGTCATTTTAGCTTTTGGATGCTCAGGGCAATCCACCATCCTGGTCCCAAGCCAGAAAAGTAAAAGGGAAGCAATATCACACACAAGAAGTTTCCTCTTTCAAGAAGAGCTTATAAAGTTCAGGTTTTTTTTCAGACTACAACTCCCAGAATCCCCTGCTCCTGACATCCTTCTGTACTCCTTAGCTCCTGTAAGATGCCATTCCTATATTCCTGTTTTTTTATAGCAAATAGTAGCTTTCTTGTGATACCATTCAGAGCCGATCTCCAAGGGGTCTCCGTCGAACAGAGAACCAAAGAGTGACAGCAGGATCCAGAGCAAGGTATGACTCCAGATGTTTTTAACACTCCACAGCTAAAGGAAGTCAATTTCCTCTCTCTCCCCCCCATACAGACCTCGGACTGCTTGAATCAGTCATTTTAGCTTTTAGATGCTCTACTATTTTGGTCTCAGGGCAATCCACCATCCTGGTAGCCAGAAAAGTAAAAGAGAAGCAATATCACACACAAGAAGTTCCCTCTTTCAAGAAGAGCTTATAAAGTTCAGTTTTTTTCCAGACTACAACTCCCAGAACCCCCTGCTCCTGACAGCCTTCTGTACCCTGTAGCTCCTGTAAGATGCCATTCCCACATTCCTGTTTTTCTATATCAAATAGTAGCTTCCTTGTGATACCATTCGGATACCAATGGGTCTCCATCGAACAGAGAACCAAGGAGCTTCAAAATTCAGCAAGGCTGGTTTACCATGTCCTGAAGGACCCTGTTTCCCCAAAAATAAGAAAATAAGCCCTAGTAGGATTTTTCAGGATGCTTATAATATACGCCCTAACCCCAAAATAAGCCCTAATTAAGTGAAACCCCTCCCTCCACCCTTGCGCTGCAACCAGAAGAAGATGACGTGACTCTATTTGAATAAATGTAGATAGTTGTACATGAAAAAAATAAATAAAACATCCCCTGAAAATAAGCCCTAATGTGTTTTATTTGGAGCAAAAATTAATATAAGACCCTGTCTTGTTTTCGGGGAAACACAGTAAGCAGAAGAGGCTGCTGATAATCTGAAAACAGACATCTTGTAAGAACTTCAAGCCCAGACTTCATCTGCATTTGCTGTTCCCCTGAAAATAAGACCTAACCTGAAAATAAGCCCTAAGTAGGATTTTTCAGGATGCTCGTCATATAAGCCCTACCCCCCGAAATAAGCCCTAGTGAAGTGAAAGCCACCCTCCACCCTTGTGCATCAACCAGAAGAAGAGGACAGGACGGTCTTTGAATAAATGTTTGTTGTACATGAACAAAATGAAACATCCCCTGAAAATAAGCCCTAATGTGTTTTATTTGGAGCAAAAATTAATATAAGACCCTGTCTTGTTTTCGGGGAAACACAGTAAGCAGAAGAGGCTGCTGATAATCTGAAAACAGACATCTTGTAAGAACTTCAGTCCCAAACTTCATCTGCATTTTACAACCATACTATGATTTATTTATGAATTTAAAATATTGATATGCCATCTTTCTCCTAAAGGATCCGAGGCAGCTTAGGGTATTAAAAGAAACAAACAAAAAATAATAATAAATAATTACGATATTTTTAAAAAGCATTAAATAAAGGCAATATTAAAATTCATAAAAAGAGCACAACGATCCTCTTTAAACGTTGTAGCCCCATCCTACAGACATCTAAAGTTGTACATTGACTTACTGTTCTTCATCAGAGAGTTTTCATGAACGTCTCTGAGCTACATCAGACAAGCTGTGACTGTTAAACGCCTATCGCTGTGCAATGTGGACGTGTCGTAACCGAACCTTTTGACAGCAAAGAGACTCCCATAGCGCTAGAGTCATTCTTTCCCACCCAGAGCAGCAACTCACCTGAGATTTGACAAACGGCGTGATAATCCTCACAACAGTCCCCGGTCTTCTCGCAGTAGCTGTCGCAGTAACACGGGGTTTTCCGGAGAGAGAAGTCGGAGCAGTCGTTATTACGGCCCGGGCAGCACTTGTGGATCCCACGGTTGGCGCAGCCACCCTCCGTGACCTGAAGAGGTCCGGTTGCCAAAAGCCAGGTGCACAAGGCCAGCCGGTATCCCACACCGATGCTCAGGTCCCTCATGGTCTGGGCCTCGGCTCTCTTCCCTGTAGCTGAGACTCCTCAGGTACCAAAGATCCTCAGGTACCAACAGAGATGGACCGGAGGATCTCTCAAAGTCTTGCCCAACTTGACTCTCTCTGATTCTGACTCCAAAGGAGACCTCTCCCTGGGGGTGAGCTGCCCCCTTGGCAATGTTTTAGAGCAACACAGGGGGGTTTCCAGGGCAGGATCAACCAGGCGGATCTTTCCGCGCTCTCATTTATCCAGTTGACAGCATCCAGCAGGGACCGAAGATGGCTCTTCGAAGAGGCCGGTGTCGGCGTGCAGTCGTCGGTGAACACAGATGGACATTTTTCGTTCGCTGGGAAAAGATTCTCGCTGCTTAATTCCTGTCTCTCCCCTTTTCATGAGCTGTCGGCCGTGAAAGCTGTCCAGCGGTGGATTGCTTCTGTTTTTTTTTTAATGCAAGGAACGACACCAAGTGGCGTACAAAAATCCGGATGCACTCCAGAGAATTGGCTGAATGCCTCTCTTTTTTAAAAAAGTGTTTCCCCCTCCTTAAAGATTTAGTATTTTAAAAAAAGAGGTTCCTCCTGGGTCTTAAAACTAAACCATCCCTCTGATCTGACTTCTCTCCGAAGCTGGAAAAAGTTGTAAAATAGCAAAAGAGCCCCCACTGTAAACATGACGTCGTGCCAAGTTTAAGCTCACACTTTTTGAACGTCTGATCAGTGCCGGCCCTAGCATGAGGCACAGCGAGGCACCAAGCTTCAGACAGTGGATTTCATGCATCATCAAAGGTCCGCCAATAATGTTATTTATTTCTGATGACTGCTTTCTGCCCCCAAGCACTGGAGCGAGTATTTGGGGGAGATTTTCTGCCTTAAAGATGCGTTGGGGTTGGTACTATGGAGTGGGCCTTGGGGTGAGGAGGGGAGAACCATGTTAGGCTGAAAAACATCTTGGGGGTGCTCCTTGTATTTCATAACATGTACCCCAGAACAGGGCAAGAATTTCAGTCTCTCTGCTCTTTAAAAAGAGCAATAATCTGGCAAAGGATTTTTTTGAAGCTGGCTGGATAGCTCTGTGGTTTGGTAGTCTGTGCCTTTTTTTGGGGGGGGGGAGAGCCAGCCTGGGTAGCCTTGGGCCAGCTGCACAGTCCCAGGGCGCCCCCTAGAGGAAGAGAAGGGTAAACCACTTCCTCTACTTGGAAAATCCTGAAAAGCATCACCATACGTCAAAACTGACTGGGCAGAACATTATTATTATTATCGATGGATTTTTGTAAAGACAGGTGTATGGTTTATCTAGCCAGATCTAATCCCTGAGCACAAAATTTCAGGTTTTAGAAACAAGAACAGGAGGTCGTATGACCACGTAAAGACTAACCCCCTTTAGGGGGGGCGGTATAAGCTTTCACAGATGCATCACAAAATGTTATGCCATGATACATGCGGGGTGTGTGTGTGATTCACAGAAGATGTGAAATGTTACTTTTCAAGAGTAAACTCTGAGAATGCTCCCGCCAGCATGAATGTTGGCCTTATTATTCTAGTCCAAGAACATACTTTTTCCCCCATCTCTGGTTTACAGGAACTTGTTTTTGTTGCAACCAATGAATATGGAAACTCACCAGGTTAATTGTATTTGTTGCTTGTTCTGTGCCTTGAATTTGCATCCTAGTAGAGTTTTCAAAGTGTATGAGATATTTAAGGAATACTTTACCATACATGCCCATGGGTTTCTCGGGTGGACGGAGGATTTGAACCCAGGCCTCACTCTATCCACTGCTCTATCCCACATAGGGTGCAATTGATCGCTTCCTCTTTAATACACAAGTCCTTTTTTAAAGGCTTAAATGGCTTCCCTCCTAGTGCAACTCAATACCTCTCAAACGCCTCCTAGTTGGCATTGTGATGGATTTGCTACCTTGAACTTTGCTTGGTCAGGCTTGGTCTTTAAAATGCATGTCTGTTAAAATATATAACCAACCTGCTCCTCTCCAAAAAAACCACAAATGTTAGCTTCAGTAGAAACATTTCTTTGAGGACGGGAGCAGGAGAAGAAAGGATTAAACACCCTTCCATAAATGATACCCAGTGTGGTGTACTGGATAGCGTGAAGGGCTAGGATGACTCAGCAGGTCTCGTGACGCAGTGGTTAAAACGCTGTACTGCAGCTAAAACTGTGCTCATGACCTGGGGTTCAAATCCCAGGTAGCCGGCTCAAGGTTGACTCAGCCTTCCATCCTTCCGAGGTCGGTAAAATGAGTACCCAGCTTGCTGGGGGGGCAATGTGTAGCCTGTATAATTAAAATTGTAAACCACCCACTGGGGTGCGGCACTGGTAATACTGCTCCTTAAATATCAGGACTGAAAGCCCTATTAGGGTTGCTCTAAGTGGGTTCTGACTTGATGGCACATAACAAAAACAAGCGTCACTTGAAAACGAAAACAAAACCCGTATCTTAAATGTGTGTTCATTAGAGCTTGCCAATGTTACTAGTCTGGAATCCCGGGATATCCCAGCCAGCACAACAATTAAAGAATCTTTAGCAAGTTTTGTATTTACAGCCACATCTAGGTTGACCCTTCCTGTAAGTAACCTGCCTCTATAAAACACAAAACCCCAAGATACCAGCTTCAGTGGAGGGTGCTTTCATGACAAACTGCAGCAGGACAACTGTGAACACAGGTCACGAGCCCATCCAGCATCAGCAAACAAGAATGGGACCAGATATTGATTGATGCCCTCTTGCCAGATGTTGAGAAGTCAACATGGCCATTTGGGCTTGGATTGGGCTGCGCTAATGGTATTGTTTTGCATCCTGCTCCGACTTTCTCCAACCCACTGAGTTTTTCCTCCTCTTCTAGTCCCATTCATTTATTTTACCCGGGTGATCAGTTGTAACAATCAGCTCATTAAAAATAGTAATTTAAAAATCCTATTCTGATAGAAGCATTCTAAAGGGGCTGACTTCCCAGTGTTTTGTGATTATTCATTAACTCCAATACTTCTGCACAGGCATATTCCCCCCCCCCATGATTCTTTGACACATGCATATTTTAATTTTTAAGGGACATTGGGTTTCTGTAGTCCTTTTCCGGAAGCAACCAGGAAAAGCCCAGGTAGGCCAGGCCGGTCTGACGTCTGGCCGGTGGCCTCCCCAATGGGGCAAACGGCGGCCCCCGCCCCCAGGCAGAAATGCCTGCCTCCAGCCGGAGCTTCCGCCAGGCGAGATGGAGAAGTTGCTTGATCAGCAGGTTCCCATCTTTGTCAAAGCTGAGCGGACTAAGAGGGGCCCTATTGTATTCAGAACGTTGGAATTCTACATATGCACGTCAAGCATAGGGTTAAAAATGACTGACAGCTGAGGTTGGTGCCCGCAGGCCCTACTCTGCAATGGGCAGTCCTCTCTTTGAAACCATCCTTTCCAAATTCAGCTTAGACCGAATATTCTCAGGAGGAAAAACAAGAGACCCAGCTTGCCCTCAAGTATTCTCAAGGACTGTGTCTCCCATTCAAAGTCCGCCTGGGTGTTGTGATCATCATTTGGTCCCACCACCTTCAGAGATGCATTCTGTGGGGACACTAAGGACTGTGTCTCCCATTCAAAGTCCGCCCGGGTGTTATGATCATTTGGTCCTTCAGAGATGCATTTTGTGGGGACACGGGAGAGGGCCTTCTCCACCGCAGCCATCATGGTAGGAGAACAAGGCTGGCACACCCAAACATGTGCGATGTGCCAAAGGGGCCACCTCTAAACTGACCTTCCCCTGTGATGTCAGACCTGTTTCAAGAACCCATATACAGTGGTGCCTCGTTTAACGACGTTAATTCGTTCCAGCGAAATCGCTGTAGAGCGAAAATGTTGTAAAGCGAAAATAAAAAACCCATTGAAACGCATTAAAACCCGATTAATGTGTTCCAATGGGCTAAAAACTCACCGTCCAGCGAAGATCCTTCATACGGCGGCCATTTTCGGTGCCTGTATAGCGAGGAATCCGTCCCTAAGCACAGTGGGGAGCCATTTTGAGCACCCAGTGGCAATTTTGAAAACCCGATGATCAGCTGTTTTGATCGTCGTAATGCAAAGAATCGGTTCCCGAAGCAGGGAACCGATCTTCGCAAAGCAAAAAAACCCCATTTAAAACATTGTTTTGCGATCGCAATTGCAAAAACATCGTCGTGAAGCGGATTCGTCGTAATGCGGGGTAATTCTTAAGCGAGGCACGACTATATTGCTTGGGTGCCCACATGGGCTGGGATATTCATGCCGAGGTTCCTCGAGAAGGATGAGATGCTTGCCAGTCGGCTCAGTCCTGACCTTGCCCCTAATCTTAAGCGCCACATCTGAAGACAAGACTCCCACAAAGACAGCCCCATGGGACCAGAAGCCCTGGGGAAAACGGATGCAACACGTGGAGAAAAACACCAGTCCATGCTGGCCGCTGTGTAGTACCTGAGGGCTTCTCGGAAGCATACAACTGAACACACAATCAGACTTTTGGCTTTCAGGAAACATTCCCGTTACCAATGTGTCGAACCCGTAAGATTGTGAAGGATGCAGCTTTCCTTCCGTGGTAACAAACCTGGAATCCCACTTAAATGGCAAACGGTGGATAGAGTTCTCTCTCTCTCCTCACTTTCTGCCACCAGATGTTAAATTACAAGAGAGAGACAGATGGGAGGCAACCTCAGGATGGTCTCTGGATCTCGGTTGCCTCAAAACCTTGCCTTCCTGGGGCTACCAAGATGCCACCCTGACTTGGTGTCTCTCCAGCTTTTGGGCCCCATCTCAAAGGGTTGAAGCACTGCTCCTAAAGCTTCGTTAAGGAAGTAACATCTTTAAGATAAAATATGGCAGCATTTTGAGCTCCATCGCCCTTTGGCCCTGCTCACCGAGAGAATGCTCTCGGGCTCAGCGATGTTCCACTCCTGGTTTAGAAGGAGGTGCTTGTCTGTATCTCGGTGTTTTAGGTCTCTGGTTGCAGAACGAGAGGTGGGGAGTTCGATTCCCCCTCTAGGCCTCCTTGATCAAGGCTGGACTCGGATGATCCAGGTCCTTTCCTGCTCTGCAGGTCTAAGGCCGAGACAAGTCTTCCTCCTAACTCTACCCGCTGCGTTCAGAACTCCTTCTGCGCGCCTGTGGAGAACGACATCGCCGGGAGTTTCCAAAAAAATGACACAAAAGAGTGAACTGGCTTTATTAAACAGGCAACTTTGGTTTTATTTTTTCACGGCCTCGCTGGAGAGTCCAGAAATTCCAGAATCATTCTAGTGTCAAGCTGCTGGGGTACACAGTGTGAGGGGGAGGGACAACATTTAAAACATTCAACTCAAGTTAAGGTAATAAAGAGAATCCTTGGTTCGCAGAGCGAGAGCCCCCAGCCCCAGCCCCAACGCTTCCGTTTGCCACTGGGTGTGTGCAAAAATAAAATAAAAAAGAAACCTGGACATCATTCGGCCGTCTGCTATCAGACCTACAGGAGACAGAATGCCCGATGGTACATTCAAAGCCACAACCGGCTGAGGATCGGGGGGGACCATTACAGAGAGACAGCTCGATTTTTGTGAAATATTACGAAGAATAACATCTGTTCCTTACAGCTGACCTGTTTGCACGTGTTTGTTTGGTTTTGCAACGTTTCGGTCTTATTCAAAATGCTTCACACAGTTGGGGTTCCAATCCAAAAGTTCAAAGAATTAAGTGTAGAATTATATATATATAATTCTACATTTAATTAATTAATATATATTTGGCTCCTCTGAATATACCTTAAAACGTAGCAGTGGAGAAGGAGAGAACCCTCTGGATTTCTCCTTTGACCGGGACTCCCATCAACAATAAGCTGCATTTAACCAACCAACCGTGTGCATCTAACAGGTGTTGGGGGCTGCAGGAAACGCCACCACCCCACGTGCCGAAAGAGACAAAGACATACAAAATTTGGCACAAACGTGGAATAGAGTTGCCACGTGTTTCTCTTGGCACCTGGGCAACAGAAAAACAATAACAGTGAAGTCCTCTCCAAATACAGTACAAGGATGAATCGGTCCGTGTCATGCTTGCCAAGCCTCTGTGTGCGTGAAGCTCAGGACGTGCGATGGCCCTCAAACCGAAAGAGAGAAAGGGAAAGCGTCCGTGGAGAGGGAGAGCAGAGAACGTTTGAAAAAGAAAAAAGAAGAAACAAGGAGAACCTTTCAAAGGCTCAAGTGAGGAAGTAACTTCATTGACTTTTAAGGCCAACCCTACTTCTCTCTCCCATTCAGAAATGTAAACAAATGAGCTCTTACGGAATGAGCTTATGGGGTGGGCAGGGAAGACAGTTTCTGCGCAATGCAGCAGGAAAACTCAAACAAGCACAGAGGACTTATGTTCCATGGGGGAACAGGTCCCCCAATGTTTCAAACCCTCCTTGAATGCAAAAATGGAAACCGCAGGTCCCCCAGTCCTGGTATAGAAGGATCATGCATGGTCTGTATAGGTCATGTTGCCATCTCCGAATAGGGGTGATATTGTGGTTGGCATCATAATGGAGCTAGCAGGTGCTAAGTGCTCCCCACCACCTCCTAATCATCTGCAGCCGCTGCCACACCAAAACTAACCCACCAGAACAGCCCCCGCCCTTCAACGTTCTTGACACTGTGTTCTGCTGCCAACCCACAGCAATGGGCATTCTCTTCTCTGCTCTGGCCTCTGCTAAAACACAGGTGGGCAAATCTGTGGTTCTCCAGGATTACAACTCCTATCTTTTTGCTGGCTAGGGCTGACGGGAATGGTAGCATAAACAGCTGGAGGGTCGCACCTGTCCCAAAAGGTGACATCAAACACGGCTTTCATTATTTGGACGTTTCCTGCAACGTTGGCTTGCCTGCGCGCTCGTGAATGCCAATGGCTTTGGGGCAAACGCCAAGGCCAGTGTGTGTTGTGTCGCCTAACCATTGGGGTAGCAGCAGCTCTCTCACCTGGCATGGTACCTGCCGGCAGGTGGTGCCAATGGGCCAACCGGCCACGTCCGAGTATGGCTCACACAGTACACAGAGACCTTCCAAAAGCTGGAACGGCTTCTTCTCCTCTTACGCTGAAGGCAGGAACCTTTACAGAAAGAACTGCTCTCTTGTCCCGTCGCAAGCCAGTAAAACTGACACAACAAACAAGAAACAACAAAAACCCACCACCACTCAAACGATGCAATGGTCCAATCTATTATTTGAGCCGGAGGTTCAGGATGCTCACTTCTGGGTAACAAGAGAAGGCAGAACCACAAAAAGCTACAAGTAGACGAAAGGAAGCTGATGAAAGATGGCTCATGGAATGTATTCAACTTCTGTTCCACCTCCCACCCCTGTCAGTGTCCCCAAGTATTTCTGTGTTCCTGTGAAAATGCCTGTGTTTAATCATTTGTGGGGTGGGTAGGCAGAAGTGAGATAAGAGAACTAGAGACAGCCCTACAGCTGATTTCCCTTGGCTTGGTTCTTTGGCTCTTCTGGGTTGAGCGACCCCCCAACTGTAAGCCAACAACGCTTCTCCGGGCCTCCTCGTCCGATTCAATAAATGTCACGGACAGAAGCCTTTCTCCTGGTCGTCTTGGAGGAGTTCCCTCCCAGCCGACCACCCCATGCCATTTCCTCCTTTTGACAAAGCCCCAGCAAAAATGGCATGAGTCACAAATCTCATCCCAAATCACCTTTTAAAACGAATTATCTTTCCTAGAAGAGTTGGCTTGCTTTTGCCGTGTCGATCTCTGAGGGACGTCTTCCTCCCCTCTCTTGTGGCAATGAGGTAAACCCCTGCTCAACCTCCACACTCCTAAGATGGCATAAAACGGTGCCCTATCACAACGCATCCTCCACCCCCTCAGCTCCTTCCTGCCCCAAATCCCACTGGTTATGTAATAGTACAATCAATAATTTACGAAGAAAACAATCCTCAAAATCTCCAGAGTTCATTCTGATAAATGTTGTACGTGCCCATGAAGCTTAATAGGGAAACAGCAGCTTGTGGACGTGGATGAGTGTCCTGTTGGCACCGGCGAGGGGGCCAGGATGGCTGGCGACCCCTTCAGATGAAAAAAAATTATAATAATACAACAACAACACACACACACCCTAGAATGCCTTCTGTGGTTGGTCATGCCTTTTTCCCCCAGCTGTTGCCTGTCCTGGTGGATGGGGAGACGGCGCTGCTCTCGCCCGCTGGCCAACGCTCAATCCGTCTTCCACACCTTGTTGAGGATTTTGACCACCTCGTCGTAGATGATGAACACAATGGCCACGTCTAAGCAGACCCGGCCCAGGCGGGGGATGGTGCCCTTGTAAAACCTACACGAGGGAAGAGAGAGGGAGAGATTTTCAGAGAATCCAAGGAAGCTCCTAGTAGAACATGCCAGAAATCTAGTCTTCTTGTGATGTCCCCCCCTCCCCAGGGTTGGCACCAAAACATGGCCTCTTGGGGCAGCTTGCCAGGGCCCAACTGATAAGGCCCACCAGCCGTTGCCAGTGAAAGATCAATAAATGCAACATGGTGATGTTTAGGAATGGGAGTTTTTGGACTACAAACCCCATACTTCTCCATTCCGTGAGCTCTATCTGATGGACAAGACACTTTACAGAGACTAAATGTGGCTCGCCTAGCAGAAAGGTCTCCACCGGAAGGCTCTGAGACTTAGCTAGGCCTAACTCTGCCTCACTTCCTGCCTCAGTGCTAGCTGGGAGCTTCGATTCTACTCAATGCCCAAGGCAGGGCGGGGGCCCAGGAGATGCAGGGCCTCCTCTACCTCCTCCATGCCAAAGACAGACCGGCCTTCTGGAACTCCTGACATAAAGCATAAAAGTTCAAATAACCCCATTCACTGCTGACCCTAGTACTTTGCAGAACACTTCAGGAAAACAGATGCAGAACGATGCTGCAGCTGGGCTTCTGACGTGTTCACAATTGGGGCTCGGCACTATCTTCCTTTTTAACCCCCTGGACTGCATTGTGGAGTAAACAGTCACCAATAACGAAGTCAATCTCCATATTCAGACCGGACATGAATGGCACCCCTCCTGGGCACAACAGTTGGCTTAAAGTTAAGAAGGTCGCCGTTCCCTCCCTATCCTGTTTTAGCACCTCCTAGACTGAGGAAGGCTTTAGCAGGATTGGAAAACTTGCCCATTTTTTGGGTGGCATTTTGGCCAAGCCTAATAAATATTCCACTATGCAGTGGATTTGGGTGTGTGTGGGGGGGGGGAAGACATGCAAAACTCACGCAAGGGGTCCTTCGTATTTCATGATCTTATAGGCACAGTCCCAGGTGCTCTTGTATTTGTGTGCCTCAAGGCCCTGCAACAGGTGGGAGTAGGGGTGGGGGAGAGAGAGAGAGAGAAGCAGAGAGAGAATGGTCAACCACTTCGATTCACAAGACGATTAGGAAAAATCGAGGTGCAGGGTATCAGACGACAGCCATTTATTCACAATCCCATAGCTCGTCTCCATCACATTCACCTTGTTCCATTTATTTTAGCTGAAACTCGGGTCCCAGCAGGAGACAATAGAAGTTACTCCTAAATAGATGTCCCGTTTTCTATTTACAGTGATGCCTTGCTTGACGTTAATCCGTTCCAGCGAAATCGCTTTAGAGCAAAATCGTCGTTAAGTGAAATAAAAAAACCCATTGATATGCATTGAAAACCATTCAATGCGTTCCAATGGGCGAAATACCTGCTCGTCCAAGCGAAGTTTCTCCATAGGGCGGCTATTTTCTGCTCCCTGTATAGCGAAAAATCAATTTTGCACAGCGGGCGGCCATTTTGGAAACCCGACAATCAGCTGTTTTGATTGTCGTAAAGCAAAAAAAATGGTTCCCAAAGCAGGGAACCAATCAACGTAAAACAGTTTTTCCCATTAGAACATCATGTTGCAATAGCAAAAGCAATCGCAAAAACCTAATCGTCAAGCAGATTCGTCGTTTAGCGAGGTAATCGTAAAGCGAGGGATCACTGTATTTGTTTAAAAATGGGGTGAACTCCAAGTCATGGAAGAAATGATGGAGCTAATGGGAGTTAAAAAGGAATTATGGGGTAAGTAGGAAACCCTGCACTCCTGCTCTATAATAACAACAAAGTCATTCTCCATTTTGTATCATGAGATCAGGACCTTCCATGTAAAGGAAAAAAAGTCTGAGCCAGCCCATCAACTGGAGCACCACGCACAGCAATATTTTCTTCCAGACCCCACTTACAGAATCTGTTGGAAATATTGCAACCCGCATATGATGCCTTTGAGAGGTTTTGGCTGGGAGGGACCCTTCTGGACTGGGGTTGCTTTCAGTCAGCTCAGTAACAGCCAATTGTTCTGTCTTTCAGATTTCTTTTCCTGCCTTTTTCTAGTCATATAGGAATGAAGTGCATGTACTGAGACAGTAAGTGCCAGTTGAGGCAAACTAATCAAATAAGGAGTGGTTTATTGAGGGGAAACTTGTAGCACAATCTGCTCTGTAGCTCCATGAACATTTATCCGTGGTGTAATTAGAGCAAGTCTTCTATCAGACACTCAATTCCTTACCCACTCTGACCCAACAGAATCATTTATCCAAATCAGATGGCTAAAGTTCCGCACTCAAAAGATTTCATTCAACTGGCAGACTCAGGTCCCATTAATCAGTTTGGCTCAACCTTCTCATAACTGAGGACCTCCAACTGTATTAAGACCACCATTCCCATCACCTCAATACAGAATATGTGGGAGCTGCATCGACGCAGCAGACTGGGAAAGGCTGTTCTGTTTTTAAAAAGCCACTTCAACCTTTTGTGGCCAGGAATTCCACAAGACACTTTAGTGCACAACTTATTTAGGGCTGACCTGGGGAGTCCCTAAGAATGTTTATGGAAATTCTTCGGGAATACAGTGGTGCCTCACATAACGAGCGCACCGTTTAACGACAAATCCGCATAGCGATCTGTTTTTTGGGATCACTAATGCGATCACATTGCGATGTTTTAATAGCCTAAACATCGCATTGCGATGATCGGTAAGCGTGCGGAACAGCTGATCGGCGGTTCCAAAATGGCTGCCGGGTGCCCAAAATGGCCACCGCAACCCTTTTCACGCGATTTCCTCGCTTACCGAGGCGGCGAAAATGGCGGGGCTATGGAGGATCTCCCCATAATGGTGAGTTTTCGCCCCATAGGAACGCATTAAACTTTCTATGGGGTTCCCCCCCCCGCATTGCGATGTTTCCGGATAGCGATGATTAATCCGGAACGGATTAACGTCGCTATGCGGGGCACCACTGTACAGCAATGCCTCCCCTTGAAATAGGAAGCTGGCAGACGGATTCACCCCATCCAGGAGCGGCCAGAGGCCAGGTGTTCAGCATACCTGCATCCTGGTCTTCACAACATCCAAAGGAGTATTGCCAAAAACACTGGCCGCTCCGGCAACCGCTCCAAATATGCCGGTGACCAAGGGGTTTATAGCTTTGTTTGGATCATCTCCTGAAAGAGCGAGAGAAGGCAGGCGTGAAGACAGAGAGCAAACTCCGAAGAACCGGCAGGTTCCGAACAACTTGCCTTAAAGCCGTCTTCGGTACCTTGGCACTTTGGCACAGCCATACCAGCACCGATGAGAAGGAGGGCAGCTAAAAACCTCAGGGTCAAACTTGTCCCTCTGAATTTCACTCCACGTCTCATTTTTTTTCCAACCTGAAGTTCATTTCACCTGCGACCACCACTTTTTGTGATGTTTTTAAAAAAACCATCAACACAAGAACTCATGTGCAATAACAGAAGGATAGTCTCCAAATCGCGTGAGGTTCTAGCCCCCCTCTCTTCAGCCCTGGTTAGGCCTCACCTTGAGCCTTGTGTCCAGTTCCGGACACCACCGTTTAAGAAGGATGCTGACAAATTGGAACAAGTTCAGAGGAGGGGCGACAAGGATGATTATGGAGACTGAAAACCAAGCCCTCGGAGGAAAGACTGAAAGAACCAGAGCAGTGCACGTACTAATGGGATGATATATAAATCAAATCAAATCAATAAAGAATAAACAAAATAAAATGGGCATTCGCAGCAACACCAAATGAATGACTAGCACCAGCACACCTTGGGAGAGAATGTTTGGGGGCTGTTGTGTTTGTTTTAAAAATTTTGTTTTTCTTCCTACAGAAACTCTTTCCAGTCAATGGATTGTTTTGGACAATGTTTGCATTGAGGAAGAGCTAATCCAGCAGAAGAAAAGGCAGGAGGGGTGGAGAGAAAGGAGGCTCACACACAAGAAATATAATCAAACTGTCAGCCACAAATACCTTTGTACCAATTCCTGAGAGCTGTCATGACAAAAAAGCGAATGGCTTGGTTGGATCCTTGTTTTAGGACAGTGGCCGTCAAACCCTGGTAAGTGCCCCTAAAGCCTGCAAGAAAAAAAAAAGAAATACAGAACAAAAGAGCATTATTAAAAGAAAGGGAAGGGAAGACAGACAGAGAGACAGACAGACAGACAGACAGATAGATGGATAGGAAGGAAGGAAGGAAGAAAGAAAGAAAGAAAGGAAGG